TTGAAATAATAGTTTTTGTTTTTTCTACCATGGTAAACTCTTAATTATCATGGTGGAGTTTTAAAAAGTAAATCAAATCCATTATTATTACTATGGTAAGCATTTACAAGTTGAATTTTGACTAATTACTTGTTTATAAGAGAAAAATCAATTTAAAAATTTAGAGCTTTACAATTAATGTATAGATCTTCTCATGTTATATATGGACATTTCATTATTCGTAAACCTAAAAAACTTGTATATTATATATTATTCAATTAAATTATATGGAATAGACATTATATTGTTAATGTATAGACCTTATCATATTATATATAGATATTCTCTTATTTATATACCTAGAGAGTTTGTATATTTCAAATGAGTCCTTATACCAATAAACGTATTTGCATATAAGGTTTTTGGACCTACAAAATAAATTTAGACTGTATTGGGCTTTAAATACAAATTATAAGTTTAGGTGCCAGTCTCTCTTAATTCAAAACAAAACATTTTCGTGACCCCTAATATAAGATATAGTCCTCTGCCAATTGAAAAGATTGTTCTCTCTCAAATTGTGGGAGATTTATAATGATCTTTGTCGAGATAAGTTTAATTTGTTCCATACACAAAAGCTGAATATAACATGTATTATGTTCAATTGACACAAGTTTATTTTTTGAAGTACAAAAAAACTTTACGTGATTCAACAATATCTATTGTTTTGTGTGTTTCAAAAGATTAATATATATATATATATATATATATATCAATATCACAGAGACAAGTTAGAACTTAATATTAATTGTCATTATGAATACTTAAGGGACCAAATTCAGTTGGGATACATAATGCAATGTCAATGACAAGTTATCTCAACGGCAAGGCCACTTCCCGGCAGCCGTGAGGTCTGAGATTCGAACTCTGCTTTGGCCCTTGAGGGCATGAGTTGTGTGCTTAAATTAATTACTTAAAAGAAGGGATACATAATACAAACATCAAAATTAACTAATAGGCTATATATAGCAATTTAAGATATAAACATAATTGAATGTGTTAGATATTAACTCTGTCTAAAATTTTATAAAATTTAATAAGTTTTTACCTTTACATTTATTATATACTTTTATTGTCAATACTTAATATGATATGCCAAATTCTTTAGATTAAATATGCTCAAGAATTGTCTACTTTACCAAAATAATTTAAACCATGTAATTAAACACATTTTAAATTTTATATATTTTTAATATATTTTTTGATTACTGGATGTGAAACTTCTTTATTTTTAATAAAAAATAAAAAAAATAAAATAAAAATTTAATAACTTGACTTATAAATAATATAAAAAAAATCTTTCCCTAGCTTACAGATGGACCTGGAGACTGGAGTGAGTAATTCTGAATTCTCAGTTTTATTTCATGTGATTCTATTAAGTTGAACAATAATCAAGGGAACATGTCAGGTGGGCATGGCTAATTGGTGTGCACAGAAAACTAGAAATGAAGTGTGTCCTTGTTGACGAGCCCAATGAGTATAGGTTTCCTTCATGAATTAGCGATCATTATCAGCATCACGTTGTACCTTCACTAAAGAATTGCAGAATCTGGAAAAGAAGTAGCGCACAAGCAATAGACAAGGGAGGGTATGTATCATGTGCTCAACCCTTATTAAGCTGTTTCCACACATTCTGGCTCAACGCAGGGATACATACCCGATTTAATTCATAATGGTTTCAGTAAATGCTCAATACTCCATGTAGCAGTATGTAATATTAATATTGCACCATGACACCATCTATTCTCTGCCACGCCTAGAATCTAAATTTGTATAACGTGGCCTTCCGTTTTCGCATTCCTCTCCGTGTGTCGTTCCATTCACCTCGTCTCTGACCAACCTTGCATTTCAAGATTCGAGAATGATTTTAAGAGATAGAAATGTGAGTTTTATTGAATTTATCTTCCTATTTTATTTAAATTTTTTATTGCATACATGTATTTTTTTATTAAAAACAGATTTATTATGAAGGTTAGAGTGCAGTTTCCAGAAAAGATCCCATCAAGAAAGAAATTGTAGAGGCCCATGATCAATTCCCATTCCCCAACGTACAAAGAGACAGCAAGTGAACAAGATATTTTCATGGGCCAGTGATACAATGACTCCTGTTATGGAAAACAATCCCAAGGGCGTGAAAGGGCCCGAGAGTGACTTCATATCTTGGGGTATGTTTCCTCTGGACTAGAGTTTTTTGTTTTGGTTGATAAAACCATGGGGCAAAGCCCAATAACTTTATTAATTAACTTTGGACTGGAGCTTTATCAGTTGTTGCTTCTGTTGTATCGAGGGGTTTCATCTAATTTTAATGCTTTGAAATGAAAACTTTGGGTAATGTAGAATATTTTATTCAGTTATATGTGCTGGGATATTTGGTGTGACAGGCGTAAGAAAATCTTTGATCCTGGTCAAAGAATACGGGGTCCGATATTGGTAGGCTTCAAAAAGCAAAGTCTGATCTCAACATATTACACATGCCCTACACTCTGAGTAAGCAGGATCAATGACGCTTAGATCGCTGGACCAGGACTAGATGCTGACGAGGTAACACTTGGATGTTGTGTTGACGGATCTGTTCGCGAAGGCTTTGGACGATGTGGAGGAGTTATAATCTGAGAGACCACAACGCAAAGTGGGTCTATGGTTTTAATACTTTTCCAGGTACATAACCTGTCGCTGTAATAACAAAACTACTTGGCATTTTCTATGGTCTTCATCTTTGCTGGGATAAAGGTTATCTCAGGTGAGGATATCCATTGATTATGCTGAAGCTCCAAACCTCGTTCACCAAAGAATTAGGGACTTGCATTCTTCGAAAGACTTGACTGATGAGATTAAATTGTTTTTTTTTTTTTTTTGGGTAGAGTTTGGGATATCAAAATGAGTTTCATGTTTAGGCAAGCTAATTTTTATGCTTATCTTCTTACTAATAATGTCTAGGATTACTTAGGTGTATGAACTATGAATTGTTTTTATATTAACCTCCACTTTATTGCATTAAGGAGGTGAATGATGAGAGGAATTTGTCTCTTGGTTTTTTTTTTTTTTTTTGATATAAACATTGGTGTTTTTGTAGTTCTTTGTATTTTTTTAAAAAAGAAATCTTTGGCCAAAAAAAAAAAAGGCTTGCAAATGAAATCCAAGGTAGTTCTCCTATTACAGACTCAAATTATTGTTCGGGAAACGAGGGAACGCAAAATAAAATTGACTAATACAAGGCTGCATTAAAAATTTTATAACTATAGTTATAATTAAAAACAATTAATTTTTAATTTTCAATTAATTTTTTGAACTCTAATTCAATACAATTTAGGGGTTTTAACAAATTTAACCAACGTTATATAGTTACATAAAACTAATAACTCACCTTTTTTTTTTAAATTAAGATAATGGCTGTTTTTTAATTTGCCTTTGATACAAAAGATAAAACTACCCTTTAACACCACAATATCCTAATTCTCCCTTTTCACATTGGTTTCACTTTCACCCACTTGAAGATGTGGAAATGACATTGCACTCTCAATTACAACGATGAAAAAATTGACAGTAAACAATGAAACAGCTCACACTGATGGATAAGCAGAGTTCGAGATTCAGTTAGGAGACTACGAGAACGCAAAGCACGACAGATTGGAAGCTACAAATTCGGGTTAAAAAATCATGAATCCAAGTTGAGGAAGTTTGAAACTGTAGCTTTTACACAAAGCCACACTAAAGCTGCAGATCTAGGGTAAGAAAGTTCGATCAGACTCTGTTACAAAAGTCAAAGTTCAAGCAATGGTTTCCTGAGATTTTATTTGATTTATTTTGAGAAAATAATTATGTGTTTTTCGTGTTACTGATCTGCGATACTATATCATTGATATACAACTGCATATCAATTATAAACAAGTTTATGTTTGATTGTCTGGTTATATTGATATGTTGATCTACAATAGTATATCAATGATATAAAATTATATATCACTAATATATAAGCCATATTAGTGATTTTAACTCACCAATTTATTTATCATTGATATACAACTGTATATCAATGATATAGTATTACATATTAGTAATGGAGTTTTTTTTTAATGTTTAATGCCCTCTTCATAATATCTAAAAAAATAAAGAGAGAGAGAAAAAGCTCTGCGATAAAGATGGTGATCTAAGAAAATTAGATAAAAAATTTTGATAAAAAAAAGCACTGTATAAAAGATGAATATGATGATAAAAAAAATCAGATTCAAAATATGATGAAAAAAATATTCAGAGATGATAAATCAAAGAGAGAACACGCACAATATGATTTTTGATGATAAAAATGACAAATCCAATCAGCTAAAGGTTAGTTAAATCAAATATATTTTATTTTAATAATAAATTTATTCTAAAGATAAAAAAGAAAAACACATCTAATTAATTTTATGAATGGATCATATTTTAAAATATTTAAAAATTTCATCTATAATTTATGGAGGTTGTATTTTTTGAAGTCATTGACTTAATTTTCCCTACAATTTAAGTTAAAGAATTGAAGGGAACGAAGTAAACAATTTCAGGCATTTGAGTTATAGGAACTATTTAAAATTATTTTTATTTTATTATTTTAAGAATTAATATTTTATAAAATATATTTTAAAAAAAAAGATGTTTTTTTATTCTTCTTTATTCTTCAGAATAATAATTTTAAAATACTTAAAAATTATTTTTATTTTTCTGTTATCTAAAATAATATTTTATTTTTATTTTTTAAAAATATATTATTAAATAAATTTTTTTATTTTCTCAGTTGGAAGAATAGAAAATTATTTTTAAAATAAGTTTTTAAACAGACCCATATTTTCCCTCATATTTACTACTATAACAAAACAAAATTTGTGACTGTGAGACCTACATGAAGCTGGCAGCAAATTGTCGTTTTCCCAATATATGATTCAAATGCAAAACGGCGGGCTATATGAAGTACCAAGGAGAGCTTGAAAGCCATTGCGGTCATTTTCTCGCTCTCATTTTTGCCCTTCTCTTCTCTGCTGCTGCTCGAGACCCGCTTGTACTTTTGCCCCATGTGCATCGATTTCGGTTTGGCCTTCTCCATGAAAGCCATTTCGGTTTAGCCCTCCCATTTCGTCGTTCTTCTCCTTTCATCTGTCCTTATTTGTTTGATTCAGCTATTTATCAAAGCATCTCTGCCACCTTCTCCGTTTTCCTTCTTCAAGCTTGCATTTCGCTTCGGTCGATTGTTTCCTCCTCTCTACGGTCAATAGAACTGCTCTGAACTTTTTTCAAGAGAACAAGGGAGGATTATACGAAAAAAGGGCGAAACTACACCGTTTTCGGCGTTTAGTTAGCTAGTGCAGATGGCAGAATCAGTGCGACAGAAGATGGAGTCTGGCCGCTTGATCTGCGATACAGAGATTCCGGTTCTACAGCACAAGATTGATGTTTTTTCTTCTTCTTATCTGAAATCCCTTGAATCACTAAGGGCAAGATCACAAGAAACGGCTCAATATCAAGGTGAGAGCTCCCGAATAATTTACTTTCAATTTATTGAACCCCTCCTTTCTCTGTATCTCCCGTGGAATTTGGGTTATGGTTATAATAAATTAGGGCGCTGAGCTTTCACATGTCTTCTGTGATTCAATCTTTTGTCCAGTAATTTATGCTTTAGAATTATCATTTATAATGCGAATTGTAGGTTTTGATTTATTCTATGGCTTTCCAGCTAAATCAGAAGAGGCTAAAGCTAAGTTGAGGGAGGTAGAGGATGATTTGGTTAAAGCACTGGGAGGTTCATCTTTACTCTCGCTTTACATCTACATATTGATGAATTTTAATTTTAATTTCTCTGGAGTAAACAGTGTAATATCATTGTCGCAAATATTTGAACGCGATAGCTTTTTGTTACCAAGCGTTAACTTGTTACTTCTCGCAACTCTTAATTGCATTTTCTCACAGTGAAGACTCGCAAAGAGGCTAAGCGTATGGCTCTGATGGATGCTGTTGCTTCCGCAAAGACTAGAGTTGAAGATCTGAAGAATAGTGTTCAGGAGCAAAGAACCAAGAATTGTGAATGTGCTGCAATTTTATCTCAGCATTCTCTTGGTAATAATCTGTTTGTGAATCTACGCTTTGCATTCACCTCATAGCAATCTTCTTAACGTTACTAAGCTTCCAGCTAGCTGTTGACTTGTGGGCATAGTCTTTACCCTGTTCAAATCTGTTTTCATATGCACTCTTGTCCCTGTTTGACGCTCGTTTTTTTTTATTGTGATCCTGTGGAAGAGGAAAGGTGAATAGCATTGCCTTTATTAGTTTGCCAGCACTTGAATTAATGATCATTATTGATATTTCCATTAGAATGAGACATGGATGTTGGAGACTTTACTCCCATTAGTCAGGCATATCTTTCATAATGATGCTTGCTTGCATGTATAGTTCTTTTTTTATTAATGACGCTTTAATATAAATTTAATATCATTATGTCTATAATACCCATTGGGGCAATTGGAGAGCCAGATCAGCTGTTGGTAAATTGGAAGCCAAGTTTAATAAATCGTGACATTAAGATGCCCACCATCTTTTGTGAGCTGCGAAATTACATATCTTTGAAAATTTTGTTTGAAACTAAAATTGTTGTTAAGAGCTAATTTGGCACAATACTCAGTATCCAGCACTCTATATTTAGTCACATGAAAGCAACAAATTTTTAAAGAGAAGGATTATGCGGTCTTATCAGTTGATTTGAAGTACCGGTATTTAGTTTTATAAATAAATACCTCATTTTATATGATGCTTATGGTGACAAACATTTGGGTGTATGTTTTACAATACTTTTTCCCCATTTATCCCTTGCTTCTACGAGGAAACATTTTGTAATGCTGGTGGTTTCTCTCACTCCCTTTTCCATTCCTCAAATTTGCATTCTGTTCATTGGATTTTTATGCTTTATGAGAAATACTGGTATATTCTAAACCCTTGGCAGCATCTGAAGGGACAATGGATGGAAGCTCTGAACAAAAAGATGAAATACTTGAGGCCATCTCGTGGTACAATACAGTCCTTGGCTTCCATGTTGAAGGTGGACATGGTAATTTATGTTGTTCATATTGACCAAGTTTTATCCTTCTTCATTCTTTGTTATCCTTACAAATTCTTCTGCACATTAGGGGTCAAGTTCACCTTCAAGAATATTAATGTGAACAATCCCAGCGAGGAGTGCTTTTTTACCATTCGTCATGAAAATGATACTTACACACGTAAGAGGCATTTTTGTTTTGTTCTTTTTTTTTTTTTAATAATCTCAAAACAATGTAATGATGTGCTTCATAAATCTGAATTTGTTTCTTTTCTTTCAGTATTGAACTGTAAACCCTCCCTCAACGGAACCAAAGAGTTTATCCATGAATTAAACAAGACAAATGGGCTATTTAAATATGTCAGAGTTATGAGGAGAAAGTTTCAAGAAGCAGTAGCACAGGGTATGACGGTGGCTTTCTATACTAACATCATCGTAGATGCATAAAATGGGGATGCTTTGTGTCCTGTAGCCTTAGTTCCCACACATCTATAGATTTGATTTCTGTCGTCCTGGAATTTTGCTTTGTAGCGGGAATTGGCATGATATGCTTATTGCAATGGAAATTTCCACTTATTTTCTGTACAGTGTAATGTTGTTGAGGTCATCTACTTATTATGTATGAGCAGATGTTGGTTTAATAATAATGAAATTTTTTACTTCATTAATATCATTTTCTATAATGTCAACTAAACAGGGAGTGTAGTATCCTTAAATAGTGAACATCAGGAGTCTGCTATTATCTCTACATCTGCTCCAGATTTATCTATGTCATCCTTTAGAAGTGATTCCCCGTCCATGAAAAGTGAGGATGAAGTTCAACCTACAAAAGGTGATAGACCTTCCAAGAAACAAACCCTCGGAAGACGAGTAATATCTGCTGCCATTTCTCCTGGATCTGCCTCATCAGTTCGCCAGTCTTCTCGTTTGAAGGTATGAATCTAATCAGTAACTGTGTGCCTTGGATTTAACTCTGTCAGCACTATCTGTTTTTATTGCAAGGTTGGAATTTTCCCAGAAGAAATTATTAGCATGTAATGATCACGAGGTTATTTTGTAGTATTTTCACCTTTTCCTTGTAATGAAACTATTATACAAATTTTAGGGTATGTAAACATTGTTCATGTTAGACATATTGCTTCTGAATTCAGATGAGCTTTTTCTATCTTTAATGTTGAGCCTAAGATGAGGTTGTATGAGTGGACAGTGGAAAATAATTTTCAGACTTAACTAATGACAAGCTTCTAGCTGAATAAATTTAGAGCCATTCTAAGACCATATTTCTCTGATAGACGTGCTATAGATGTTAGAGCCTAGAACTGGAAGTTGGTGGGAGTGAATTTTTTGTTTCTTTGTTTTTTTTTTCAAACATCATGTGGCAAAAATCAATATGTTGACTGAAGATCTAGTGGTTTGAAATTTGGCTTCTAGAGATTGTTAGTTTGCCTTGAACTTTTGGTACTGTTAAAAGAAGACATTCTGATGAACCTCTTCCTTGACCAGCTTAGCTTTGCCTTCTTTCAATTTTGTTAAGACCCTTCGTCACCTAACATGTGCGACCTGGTTCTTTGTTCTCCTCAGACTAGAGAGTCAACATTCTATGAGTTGTTGTAATTTGTGAATGCTGAAGCAGTTGCGGCAGTTTTCTTTCTGTAGTGAATGTTTCTCTTCTATTTGGACCATGGGTTACGAATTACTCCCTCCGCCATTTCTACCAACCTCATCAATACCAATACAACAAAGGTATAAAGAATAAAATTTTGTAAAATTGCAAATATAACCCTCAAAAAGTAAATAAATTATATAATATTATTTTTCTGTTTCTCTCTCTCATACTTTTTAAGGGTAGTTTAGGCATTTCATTTAAAATAAAACATCACTATCAATTCAATGACTTATAAAGTAAACCACTTTACCCTTCTAGAATGTGACCTATAAAGTGGACTGGAGGGAGTACACAAGATTTTCAGGGACTGAAACTAAAACATAAAACTGAATGATAATAGTGACTGGCAGTTTGTTGGCTGTGCTTAGTAAGTTAATGCTTCTGATATTAAAACGATAATAAGATTTGAAACAATACATTCTGTGATGATTTGTTCAAGGTTTGATGTATGTTGTATTCTGTCAGGGCATCAAATAAAGGGGAATCGTCATCTTTAATCTTTGTCTTGGTATAATATATTATTGTATAGAAATTCAAATGGCTGATTATTTATTTGGTCTTGATAGTAAGAATTGGAGCACAATGGCGTCATATAATCCATGTAGTCGACCTCACCTAGTGGGATGAGGCTTATTATTGTTGTTGTTGTTGTAGTAAGAATTGGTATGATTCTTGCGTGTATGTTTTTATGTTTTTGGTGACGCTAAAGCATTGGCATGGATGCAGTTGACAATTTTCTGCTCTTGATGTGCAAGGTCAATTGATTCTAAGATCTCTTGTATGACAGGCTAAGAAATCGAGTCAAGTGTAGGCTGTTTTGCTCCCATACGTTGTTGGATGAGAAATGCTGAGTCTCTGTATGACTCGGGGTCATAACTAATAACTGAGGCTGCTAAACAAGTTGACGCATGAATGAAGACATATCTGAGTTGTAGATGGCTGAACCTGTATCCAAGATATAAGAATGGCTTTACAAAACGTGTGTTTTAACTTGAGGTCGTATGGGAATGTAACTTGTGTGGGCCAGTGGGGGCGCGCGCGCGCGCGCACTTTTGAGGCTATTGTATTGTACTTTTCCATATATTTTGTGATGATTGTGTTTTCACGTTGCTTGTTTGGTTTATTAACAGCTCCTCAGTTGATCATGCTTGGGTTTGACGATGTAAATAAAGCAGCGGATATGTAATAAGTCCTCTTTTTACCCCTTGTTATAAACAAAATTTTGGATGATGACCAAAGTGCGTGCGGCATCTTTATGAAAGACATACGTTTTCCTACACATGGGAACCGAACTACACACTGGCAATTATTCTTTCCTGGCTCGTGTGGTTGTCCACAAGCTTATACATTGTTTTAGGTGTGCTTTGGGAGTGAATTGTCTTTATCTGCGAATAATTCTATTATTACTTGTGTTTCTTCTAAGTTATTCGTGTCTCATTTAGTATTGGTGAATTTATTTTGCAAACATTTTCTTTCTGGATCCAACTATTAATGTGAATGCCTAATGGTGATATTGTAATAATTGACACTTGAAAGGTGGTATTATTCCCGTGTATATTTTAGGATGCGAATAGCTTTTTCACGGGAAACTTCAAAGATAAGAATACCTTTTAGCCCAAAGAAAATAATTGAATATTTAAATTTGGCAAGAAATTATAGTCGGGAAAAAATTACAGTAATAATACACTTAAATTTGTATGCATGTTTATTTGTGAAATGAGTCAAAGTGAAGCTACATTTGGAAGGGGCTGCATTATAATATGCTAGGAGGGTTGAGATGTAATGTAATAGTCCCTAACGTAAACAGAAAATGTTGAAATATTTATATATGTTTACATACATGAGTGGGAGGGTTTGTAGGCCCAGGAAGGAGAAGATCAAGAACCGGCTTGACGTAGTCGTTTATGAAGCAAGGCTCGAGTGTTGTTCCACAGCTTCTGAGCTTCTAATTCGTCATTTGCTACACTTGAGCAGCTGCTCTCATTGCAATCTGCGAAGTATTTCCCACTCAGCCCTTGCGTTTGTGGACTCACTGCCACGTAACACGTTGTTGCCGCGCCCTTTACGTTTCATATAATTCACTGTCATTCTCTACTCATTTTCCTTCTAATTCTTTCAATACAAACACACAACTCTGACACTCTTTGTTGTTTTAATTTTTTTATTCATAAAAAAACAAACGTGCTTCTCTTCCTATAATTTCAAGAACTGACAGGGATACTTCTGAACAAACCTGAGATGTTGATTTGAGCAACTTGGACGCAATGAAGAACAGGGAATCTGCGTGCAAGATTTTAAGAATATTTAGTAATTCAGCTTCTAGCTATCTGATGAACCCAACACAACCTTTCCAACTTTAGGTTTTATGTAGATAATTTTTCCCCGGCATTCAAAACATAATAAATTATGATAATTTTTTAGTTTATATCGATAACTCCTATCGTTCATTAGTTTTCAAGTTTTTAAACGCTTGTTGTTACCTGTTATTAGGCCTTTATGAGCTCTGATAATTCCTGTCTTAACAATCCCCGGATGAACTGCATTGACCGTTACTCTTGCATTCCTCGCCTGACATTAAAAAAAAAAATGTTCATACAATGTTTTAACTCGTAGTAACATGACATTTTGCCAGAAACAATCTTGTCATGTGATTCCTGACCTTAAGTTGTCTGGCCAATTCCTTGGCATGCAAAATATTGGCCAATTTGGATTGAGAATATGCACGTGTCCCATTGTAACTGCGATTAGATTAAAGATGTAGAGGTGATCATTAGTGTATGGAAGCAAAGCCAAATGTGAATGCAAGCAATGAGATTAGAATCAAACGTAGAGTTAGGAATGTCGTGAGAATAACATTGTACGTACTTTGTTCCATCGAGCATTTGGTGGAAGCGAAAAGCATCTCTCTTCACCCAGCTATGGATCACAGAAGACACATTTATGATCCTTCCTTCAATTCCACTCTCCTCTGCCGTTTCTATCATTTTTTCTAGCAACATTTCTGTCACCAAAAAATGTCCTGCAAATGCAAAATCATTCCCAAACCTCATCAACAAATCATAATTATATGTCATTTTATGGTTTATTTGCGGTTTTTATAAAATATATATATATATATATATATAATGATTTGATTGAATTTGTATTTTTTTCTGGTTAGCTCGGACTACTAGAAAGAGTGACAGGTCAAAGCATCTTCAGCAAAAGCTTTGCACTTTAGAAACAGACTGCACAGTGCAGAAGCTTTAAACTTGCAGCCCTTAAAGAATAACGCATGCATGCCTGGTGGACCAAAATGAATGAACGATATATATATATCAAGTCAAGCCAATGCCCATTGACTCAAGTGAAGCACACATCATAAACTCCTATAAGACTAAATTTTAATATATCAATTATGCTCATTTTTTCACATAATTATATATATATTTCAAAATATAAGGATGGTGCACAGCGTATACTTAGTCTAATAATATTTCAAATTTTTTAAAATTTATTGAGAATTAAATTGCAAATAATGAATTAAAATTTAGGGAATTTATAAAGATAAAATGACTAATATTTTCTTCCAAATACCAGTCTGGACTTTAATTGGAACCCAATCCTAAGTGAATGAATATATCTGTAGGATGGGCAAGAACTTGAAAAGTACCCAAGAAATTGGTGGCAAATGTCATCTCAATTTTCTCTTCAGAGAACTCCAAGTTCTGAGAGAATATTCCAGCATTGTTTCTGTCAAAACTCAAAACATATTCTCTCTTTCAGAATGATTTTTTTTTTTAAAAAATAGTGGAATCAACAAGATCATTTCATATCAGAGTATAACAAACTTACATGAGGATATTGAGGGGAAGCTGTAGAGCCAAAAACTCAGAACAAAATCTCTGTACAGAAGCAAAAGAGCTGAGATCAATTTCCAACACTATAACCTCAGCGTTTGGACTTTCTTTCAAGATGTTCTGTCTCACTTCTCTCGCCTTCTTCAAGTCCCTCGCACCAATCACTACCCTCACTCCTCTCTTCGCCAACACTCTTGCTGTTTCAGCTCCAATCCCAGAAGTCCCACCTTCATATATTAATATTTACATAAATGCAAGATAATCCAACGTTAATAACATTTTCTCGAGATTCTGCAGTTAATCTTCAAAAGAAACAAAGTAAAGGAGGAGAAAGATCGATGAATATTGATAATGATCAGTCTTTCTTTTTCTGGCGTCGTGTTATAGTCTCAATTGTGAACCAAAGAAAGGAAAAGAATTGTACAAAACAGAAAAGAAAAAAATTGCACAGAAGGAGACAGAATCATGTCTTGCGTTGATGCTGCTATAAAGCTATCACCATTCTTCTTTATGGTACATTCACGGGTGCTATATACTGCCAGCCTAACTCCCACTCTCCTCAATCCCACAAAACACACTAACGACAAAAAATAAATCTTCATGCATACTCAATATCTTCATTCTTTCAACTGAGAGAGACCTATTCACTGTCAGATTTGGCTGATTCCTCAGCTAATAAGCCCCATTTACCACAAATACAAAACAAGACATGACTTGTGGGCAAAGGTGTGTCTATACACTGCATACTCATAAAAACAAAACATTTATGCAGCTAGCAAGTGCTTCATCATTCTAGTCTTTGAAGTGTGGGCACTTTACAGTTTTCTGAAGTTAGACCAGGAAAACAGATCTATCTAACTTTTCTGTCAAAAGGAGAGGAATAACAAAGCTGCAGACTGAAGTGAAGACGGAAGAGTGATGACAATCCGGCACTCATAAATCTCCTGAATCAAGTCATGGACACTCAAAGGGAGGAAAAAACGAATCAAACCAACCACAGATGGCCCTTATAATATTACCTGTGATGAGAGCAGTTAGATGAGAAGAGAGAAAGAAAGAGCAATCTTCAGTGACTTGCTCGGCTGTTGAATTTGAGCCATAACCACTGGGCCCTGCCATTCCTGCTAAGTATCTCAGTGTGGCCTTCATGCCTTTGCCTGCTTTCACTCTCTTACTACCACAAAGAAAGAGCATTTCAGAATTCAAACTCAAAGCCACACAACGAGATATATATTTATACATAGAGAGAGATAAAGTCTGAATAATGTTAATCACAAAAAGTCACTGTATATAAATATATGTTTAGAAAGAGTAAAGAATGTAGACAGGATGAGTAAGAACGGAGGGAGTGAACTCTATAAAGTTACATTTGTTTTGTGCCGTTCTTTCCCTGAAGATTTATTTTGGACGATGCTATGTTCAGCTAAATCATTGATCGAAACCACACTTACATCCGATGGTCCACAAACTACGTGATTAATTTAAACCTAACAGAACCGCTTGACATATATATGTAGTATGTGTTTTAAGATTTCTATTTGCGTTTTGAAGGACGCAACTTTTTCCAAATGTCTTCATTTCTAATAATTACCACCGCTATGTCCTTATTAAGTGGCTTGCATTTGCTCTAGTGGGCTGTGACCATTGTTGATTTTTTTTTTTTTTTGGTTCTCTTTGGGAAAGTTTTTTGAGTGCATAATTATGCTTATGTAGTAAGTAAAAAAAGTTCTTGATAAAGCTTGATTAAGTGTAACCATGAATCATTATATGAAGATTAACACTGAAGTTAAACCAAAATTCTTACGTGCTAATGATGTTTGACAGTTGCCTCCTTCCTTTTGTTCTTTTGTTTAGCTCACGGATTCTCTTTGCTTTCACCTTTTTTCTCCTTAGGGTTAATTTGTGCGGATCTAACTCATTGCAGTTTTGAGATTAAAATTTTCTCCTTGTCATCTTCCACCTTAAAAAGTAAAGGTATTTTGGGTTGCATTAAGAGGTAAACGATATATAAATTCTTAACCCCCACTGGACATGCCTGATCAGTGTGAGAAAAATAATGGGTGGTTGGTGACAGCAAAGTCGTCTCTCTAAACCTTTATCATAATTTTGGTAATTATTGCCACGAAAAATAACGAAAAGTTTCCATTATTTGATTAAGACATATATATCAACATATAGTATATATTATTAAATTCAATTAATAATATGTTCTCCCACTTGATTGAGTAACATATTTCTAACATTTGCACTGTGTATCTTATAATTTGTATACGTGGCTCTTAGATTCAAATAAAAGAAAAGAGAGGATGATAAATAAAAACCTTCTAAAAAAGTTAAAATTCAACTAGGATATTAAAAAAAAAATTCTATGCTGAAACATTGGAGGATGAATCTCAAATTTGAAAACTTAAATTATAATAAAATCCTGTGATTTTAGCTTTCTTATAATTAAGGTCCTTGATTGTCATTATTGAACTGATGAAAGTAATAACAGCATCAACACTTGAAAAATAGCCTACTTGTATGACTTGATTTTTGTTTCCACTATTTGTTGATGGAAAGTTCAATGGGAAAAGTAATATTCCTTCAGAGAACTTATTAACTTATGTCTGTTTCATGCAAGAGACAGGACAAAGACAAGATACTGATTTGCCTAACATCTTGTTTAAGTGCCGTATGGACACTTAAAAAATAATTTTTTAAAAACAAACAAAATCAAAAGGCAATCATACACGATCACATAATTCCCGCTAGTCATAAATATTGTGCTCTTTAATTTTTAGCCTCTTCCGATCGATCTCAATTATTATCGTCGAATTTTGACTAAAAGTAAGCATTTTTTACATTTGATTTTTGACTAATGTGATACGCACGAACTTAAACAAAAACAACTGGTCATATTAAAAAACTTGGATTAGATTGACCACATACGTACTAGACAAAAGTACTTCATCATGAGAATGCGCAGAATTTTTTTTTTAAAATATTAATCGTGATATATCTTATCATAATCTACGAGAGTTGTTTAAATAATTCAGACTAATATCTATCCATCAGTCTGCACCAAACTTCTGAGAGGAGAAAAAGTAGATTCCTCATTTAATTCCTTGACTGACTGGATCAATCTAGTTTCTTAACCACAAAGGCACAAAAGTTGATTGCCTTTGAAGCAGGAAAATCCGAGATTTGTCAGGTATTTGAGAACAAGAATTGGGAGCTAGACAATAACATAAAGAAATGAAAGGCGGGTAATTCATATTTAATATGATACTATAAGAAAAGAAGTGGTTGCGTTATGATTGAGTTAATGGGCGAAGTGCATGCATGAAGGAGCAATGAAAAAAGAGCAGGCACGTGTGGATGTAAGAGTCAATCATCGTAGGAGATGCATATGCAAATCATAATTACAATTAAAAATAACTCAAACACAAGTTTTTGTTAGGAGCATTCTACATTTAATTAAAATAATTTAATTGTTTAAAAAGTTTTTTTTTTATGGAAGCATTGCCACTAATATTGTCACACTTTCAAAATTTAAACTCAAGACATTTAGTCAAATCCATATGACTTCCTTACTGGTGAAACCCAAGACACTTGAATTTTTGAATTACAAGAGAAAGAAGCAAAGAAGAGAGAGAGCACCGCGGAATAGGGTGCATGAGAGCGCAGAGAATAATAACATTGAGTGAGGTGCTGGAAAGGGGTCGTTGGGAAATAATGGGAGTGTTGGGGGATTGGAGGGCTAAAAGACAAGCAATGAGGTTGACCCTTCAACCATGGCTCCCTGCATGTGGGTCCCATTCTGCTTCCCTCTTTCCTTACACTCTCTCTTTTCTCATCATCCCACTTCACTAAATTAAATAATAAAGTAATACATTATACTTTCTCCCATCATATTTATATTTATAAATTATTTTTATCAAACTCATCAATATTAATATAATAAAAATATAAAAAATAAAAATAAATAAAATTTTAAATATAACTCTTAAGTAGAAAGTAAGTCAATCATATAATATTATTTTTTTATTTTTTTCTTTAAATTTTTAAAGATAATTTAAAAATTTTAATTTAAAATAAAATAATTTCATCAACAAATAACTTATAAAATGAATCAAATTATATTTTAAAAAAGTAATTTATATATTGAATAGGAGGAGTATGCTTGAAGTTTTTGTATAAATTTTATAAGTTCATGAGAGAGCATATCATTAATTTTTACTGTCAATTGTACGTATAAATTAGATCCTTTTTATACAAATCTCATTCATTCATGTATATATAATTATTCATTTAGTTTAACGGCATAAATTTACTGACACTAAATTAAATATATCATTCATTTAATGATTATCATAAAAAAATGTTATAATTTTATTTTTAAAAGCATTTAAGTGATGATATAATAAATATATTATCAGTAAATCAAATAAATATTTAAATAAATATATATGAAATTAAATATAGAGAAATGTATTAAAAAAAAAAGTATGAAAATGATAGAAATTCATGTATAGGGTACAAAAATTTAGAGTTGATGCATAATTTAAATGATGCGCGTGTGACGTAGATACATCAACATGGTTGTAGGGAACAAAAAGGGTTGATTCCCATTGTTGAAAAGTGAAAAGCGAGTTGTCATTATGACTTTTGGCTTCTTGTTTTGCCAACAATATATGGGCAAAGTTGATGCGTTTGGACATAGGTCGGTCTGAATGTTTTCACTTTTTACTTTGCCATAAAGTTATATATTTCATACTATAAGTCTATAACCAAGTATGAAACTGTAGATATATGTGTTAGATATGTTCATCCACTTCCTTTTAAAATTATAAAATAATTTTAAAAATGATTTGATATTCAAAATATAAAACAATTTGATAAAAATAAATTTTTAATAAATATATTTTTTTAATAGTATCCTTCCCTTCTTGTTATTCTCTTCCTAATCATTAAAAGTTATATTAAATGAAATATATTTTTAAAAATTTATATTTTTATTTTATAAAAACAAGTATATTTAATGAACTTTGTATTTGACAAGTATAATTTTGTCTAAATTTATCTTATAAATTAGGACAGAGTGAGTAATTTTCTTGAAAATAATTCTGTCACTACTTTTATTAATTAATTATGATTATGATCATTGGTTGAGAATATTGTGCCTGAAAACATGGGGAACATACGCGCGGCATAATCCTCAAAGATCCAAACATGTTTTGAGTTTCTAACCCCTTGAGTGCATTTGAAGCGATCAATGAAACCACCCAAACTGGAAACTTTTCAGGTTAATTTAATCCCGTTTTAAAGGAAAGATACTAAAATTCTATCTTGTGTAAAAGTTTTTCATCATCGGTTAATCAGGAAAGGGTGGTTGTGATTAAATTGAACTCACATGTCATGTTGGCGGGTAAATTGTGACTTGATCCTCAAGCAAAGCCCTCAAAACTATGCCACCTACTTCTACTGTTTATATGTTTTTGCGACGTAATCATCTCATGATTAAGTGATTCGATAATTAATTGCCAAACCTGATCAAATGACATGAGAAAACACTCTCGTTTTTTGTTGGGACATGGAAATGTGGGATTTTTCGAGATCTTGATGATACCTAATTAGATCTCGAAAATTGAATTAATTATTATTAGGTGATGCGTTGCTTTTCTAGTTTTAAAATGTTTTCTCTTTTTATTCTTTTCAATGGGTAGATCAGACAAAATGAGAAGCCATTCACACTATTAGGTTTGTTGAACACTCTCACAAAAATATTACTTTAAAATTTCTTCGGGGACATCTGATCAAACTGGAACGATATAGAGAAAATAAATTAGCATGATCTTGTGGAAGGATGACATGTACAAATAGAAAAAAAAATACTACTTTAAATAAATTTTCTATTGTTTCAAATTTTATTGTTATCCTCTAATTTTATATAATGCCAATATATTATAATTTAACTAATAGTTAACAGAAAATCAAATGAAATTAATGGACCAAATTAAAGTAAAACCAGGCGATGTTAAATTTTACCAAGTCAAATAAGAAATTAAATTAGAATTAAATGGTGATAAGAGATAAACTTAACCTACGTAACCTAAGGCAACCAAAGAAGATCATGGTAATTTTCTTTAAGTAATCATGTTTTTTAAAAAATTGATTAAGATTAATATATAGAGTAATTACTGAAGGCTGAGAGACAAATCAAAATACAAGTCATGATGAGGAGGGGCAATTTTAGCTACGAGGAGCAGAACAATGAAATAACCCTAAACGACCTTAGGGCCCTCTTGTGTCCACCTTGTCCCCTCCATTGCACATAATTTCAACCTGAATCGATGCCTTCCATACACTTGTCATTAATTTCACACTGCCGACAAGCCCCACTTAAATTTCCATCCACTTATTCCTTTTAACCACATTTACATTTATTTAAATTTAAATGTGATGAATGGAGTGGCGGAGAGAACAAATGTGTAATAAGATGTGAAGATGTTACATATTAATTTAAAATTTTAAAATTTAAATTTATAAGTTCTTTCATATTATTATATATTTAAGCTTTATTCAATTCAATATAAGGTTTTTTACATTAATCCAAATCTATTGACACTTGAACATCCTAACATAACATTCCTCAAACCAAGCATGTATTACCTCATAGTTAGATGCATTTTTGCTCGTCTTTTATATACATAATAATCTAATTGTTGAATTAAATTTTAGCATCATTAACTTTTGAATAGTGGTAATTCTCAAGTCATGAATTTTCCGTGACTAGGTTTCACACTTCCACTCACTTCTTATATAACAAAAATCATGTTTAAACATTTTTATTCTTGATAAAAATAAAAAATTACTTTCCTTTTTTATACAGCAATTATTTTTTTTTAAAAAATTCTTCTGAGCTTGTAAATTGAAGCATGTAATTAAATATAATCAACAAGAATAAATTACTGAAACCATCAAGACATTATTGATCTACATGTAAAAGATCACTTTTTATTTAGTGCATATCTACAGCGTCAATCGACCAAGTGTGATCCCATATCCATGACATTTTTCATAGAAATTAGTGCAAGCTAGGGTGATACCTCTTAGGATGTCAAAAGAGGCCAATATAATCCTAAAAGTTAAACTTCAAGTAATTATTTTTAAACCAAAAAAAAAAAGGTTTACCATTAATTCAAACTCTTGAAAGAGACTTAAACCCATGCATGCTAAGAGTCATTATTATGGTAGTCTTGTCGAATTAGTTCGATTATGTGAGCCAACTCATGTCAACTATGAATGGGATAACTTAAACTAAATTGAGCCCTTCCCATAATTCACATTAAAAAAAAAAACCTTTCTGAGAAAAAAAAAGTAGAAAAAATACGATTAATAATTATGCATGAGGTATGATTTTGACTAGATGTAGCCCCACGTGTCAAAGGCCAATAACATGTCGACATATGGCCCTAAACATTCCGCACGAGCCAATCACGGAAGAAGTGGCGTGGGGCCCAGCCTAGACTAATTTTTCTGCTTTTAATTATACCTCCTCGATGGCATATGTACTTATCATTAACCACAAGACATAATTAACAAGATAATCTAAATTAAGTAATGACACGAATTCTAAACTCTTTGTTATAATTTTTTTTTTTGGCTTTAATAAGACTTGAAGAAAAAGTTGTCTGTCTTTATCATCTTCATGCAGCTACCAAGTATTACCAAAAAGAATATATACATAATCCAACAGCAAGAGTTCAATTGTTTTCAATTCATTCAGTGGCAGCACTTTAATGCCTTGATTGAGAATGATGGCCATACCCCCTTCATGCCAACACGACAATAAAAAATAATGTAATAATTAATTAATAGCATTTAATTGTTTAAACCTCGTGATTATTTCACTTGTTTGAATTTTTTAATTTAAAAAATTAGTGGTGGACAAACGATGCTTGTGAAACGAGGACAAACTTATTCGAAGACAATATTATATTTATGTTTGCCATTGTTGGGGAGTGGGTTTTCCTGTGGAGGTTGTATGAACAAATCATGCAAGATTGGGCTTTACTATTTTTTTATTAACTGTTAATTAGTATTAATATTTATTACTTTTTCACGTCTTTCTTGATCCTTTCTAATAAATTCAACTTTGTGAGATAGATATTTTATTTGAAGTTTGTCAGTGTATCAATTTATTCAATGATAAATCCAAGGATTCACACGTATCATCTTCAGGTAATTGTTTTTGTCTTTACCATTCCCCCAACTAAAACTTGAAATTAATATTTTTTTAGTAATGCATGCTATAAGAATTATGAACTATGCATTTGTTTCTATAAATTAAATATATATTTAAAAAGATTTCATTTTGATATGTTCTCTTATTTTAATCCCTTTTAATTTGTATTTCATTCACAAACCCTCTCCCCACTAATTGTGTCTCCCAAAGGATGCCTACACCAAATCCAAAAAATAAAGTCAAAATTGGTGGTAATGCTTTTTTATTATTATGCCTTTTAAAATGCCCAAAATAATGACAATTAGCTTTATCACCAATTGATTTGACTACATTCCTTTATTAACCTATATGCTATTTGCCAAAAACATGATTGAATCCTGGCTTGATGTTTTCCCCCTTCGAATGGTTTATTTCATATTCTAATATTCTTTTATACAAATATTTGGTAACAATGTAACTTTGTTAAATTTAAGCATTGTCATTTTTTTTTAGAAGCATTGTCATATTTAATTAGCGTCAACTCTTATGACATGATTTTTTTATTCATGAAATTTAAACTCCCAATCTTATTTAAATAATAGTATAGACTTTTTTATCTCGATTTGATGCATTCAGGTAGAAGAATGGAAAAATTATACGCGTTGAAGCCAAATTTTTTTTTTTTAATCTTTTTTTGGGTTTTTTACAAGTATCATTGTATTAGAGATATTGCCGGGTACTAAATTAGGCATTTCTTCTAAAAAAACTTTAAACTTTAATTCATTACATTATAAGGAACTAATCTCTTTTACTAAATTTAATAATTGTTAAAACCAAAATTGATGAGGCCTTAATCCTAACATTAGGCTATAAAATGTCCTTCTTCGAAGACTCCCATAACCTTAGGCCTAGGCATGTAATAACTAGCTAGTCATCAATAAACTTAATAGATAAAGCTCATTGTCAGAATCCTTTGAAAAAACTTGGTGAGATGGATAGGGAGTAGATTGGGAGTAGAATCAGGTGGCAAATAAGCTTGCTAAGGAAGGGCTATCTTATTCTTCTTTATTCAATATTGCTCCCATGTAATGTCTCCTTATTACCTTTGTAATTAGTCAAAATGCAAAGTCTCTCTTACTAATCACCAATTAACTCCAATTTTATGGTAATCAAGGGATTATTCCACAAATATTACTAAGTGTGTAAGTTCTATAAAACACGGATCCCAAGTTTTTTAAAATTAAAACGTTACAATAAACTTTTGTAATTCAAAATCAAAGTAATTTAATATATGCATAAGTGTAAGACCTCTCACAAGTTAAAGCACTTACATAAAATATGAAAACAATAAAAGTTGTGCAGAAAAGTAGACGTGCACCGTGGCTTATCATACACACAATGAGGTTTGTATGCCTCTATACCATGCGCCGTAGCTCAAGTGCCATACACCACGATGTATTGCACATATTTGACAGCATTGCTGATTGTCATTTGACAACAATAGGGGCAAACTTCCAACACATCTTATTTCTCATTTGATATCCTATTAAAGTGATCTAGGTGTCTAAAGAGAACTTTCTCCTAACTCTAACTAATGACACTGATTTCACAATCATAACACTTCTCAATCAAAATTTGGACACCCATTTTAAAAACCTACTCCTTTTCAATCTTACTGCACAACTTAAGTGTCTAATTTACATTTCAAGTGCCAGAAGCCAAAAACACACCTTAGATCTTACTTAAAAGACCAAAATGAATTTGTGCACTATATCGTGTCTCACAAATAATAATTTCAACATATTTTTAATGCTCAACCCCTTAATTTCACAAACAGAAGAAGGAGCCACAATCTCATAAATCATTGTACCATGTCAAAATAAATTGCATGTTTGATCATTTTTCACTTGTACTAGTATTTTAACCCTTTTATAAAACTCACAATGAATACATATATATCCTAGGGCTCAAAATACACAATATAATACCATAATCTCATAGTGCAAGTAAACCAAAAATATAAATTTTCCCTAGTTGGCAATATCACACAAAATTGTACACATTAATAGTAAAAAAAAAAGAGGCCTATGGATATATAGGATCGTAATCCTATGCCTCAAATTGTTTCCTTATGTCTTGTCTTGTTGAGTTAGCTCTTATAATAGTGAAGATAATGGGGTGAGTGTAACCACTCAATAACTAAAATTCCTTTAACTTATACTAATGCATGTCAATTAATTTAAATGTAAGTAGTAAAGATATCATTCTTAAATCATTTAGCATGTTTAAGAACACCATTTATATTTCTCATTTATAGTAGCATATAATCATGAGATAATAACTTAATGACACAATTTCATATAGACCTAGGACTAATCATATGGTTTTCATCTCTAGGATCATAATACAAACAATCATGTGTCCTTTTATCACTATATATATGATCATACCTCCCTTATATCCTCCTTATGCGTCTAACACAAAATCATGGGCTATAAGTGTCTATGAACTGAGACTATCCTAGCCATTCAAACATGAGAGGCTACTCGATTAAGGTTGTCAATCTCACTTGTGGTTCATAATTTCTCCCATGTCTCACATTATGGGGTGTCATTTTCCCTAGACTAACTTCATCATTGAACAAGTGAAAAACTGGTTAAGTTTGAATTCCTCAT